GGTAAGAAAATATTGATGAATCCCGGATTTGTGCGTCAAACGATTGTACACACAGTTTAAGCACAGATTTGTGCGTACGCACTGTTTGTGAATGAGGCCCATTGTCACCGCTCAGCAGAAAAAAAATAAATGTATCCACCTTCAGTATATAGACCAAATCACAATGTTCACAATAACTCCCATCTCACATACATAAAATTAAACGATGCTGAGCAAATGCTGCCTCAGTTAGTTAGCTTTTAGTCACCTAAAAAAGGCCCGTCTAAAAAATTAGTTTAAGTGTCGCTACATATCCCACTGCCTTGATTGGCATAAGGTGTAAGGTAAGGCAGAGAAAATATTCCAAATATAGTTTACACTTAAATTAGATTTTTAGGTGGGTCATTTTAGGTAGCTAAAATACATTTTTTAGCTTGTTTAGCTTCTGTGCCCATACATTGGGTTTATCAAAGAAAAACAGTATATCAAATAAGGTCATAATTTTAACTTTATATCTCTAAACGTTACAGTGACAGCTGAAAATAACAGAACGTAACAAGTTAGCCGAGTTTTACATATCCGCACAACTGAGATCAGTTACCAGTTGTCGCCTCAGACATGATTGTTGTTGTTAGTGTAATGTCACAGTGATTCGGTCCATTGGAGAGGAAGATTAATATCACAAAACTTGAGCAAACCCACCGCCATCTGCATGGCTACAAACACTTGTGGTAAGTCAGTGACCCAGCTCTTTGTAATCACTCTTAACTTGCTCTTCTCAGGGCATTTGCTGTGACGGCAGAGAAGGTGCAGAAGGGCATCCGAGTCTTCAACAAACTGTTCTCAGAGCGTGCTGAGAGCCTCTGGCAGCACGTCATCGACCTCAACGGCATCGCAGATGGTTTGGACAAGTTCAGCAAGAACACAAAGATTGCTCAAATCACTGGTGGCTCCACCAGCGCCATTGGGGGCGTGGCCACCATTGCTGGCCTTGCTCTGGCCCCAGTCACCATGGGAACCTCCTTGATTGTGACGGCAGTTGGACTGGGTGTCGCCACTGCAGGCGGTCTGACATCAGCAGGTGCCGGTATCTCCAACCAGGTCAACAACTCCATGGACCGCAAGAAGGTGGAGAAGATTGTGCAGGATTATCAGGAAAAGATCCTCGACCTCAACAAGTGCCTGAAATTCATCAAGCAAGGTATCGAGAACCTGAAGCGGTTCGACCTGATCAAGATGAAAAATCACGCCTACAACCGCGACTTCCCTGTGCTCAGTAGTAGTTTCTATGAAGACGGCGCCATGGCAGGAAAAGCGATCCTCATCAACGCTAATGAGATCATGCGTGTGGTGCAGATCGCCAACGTGGCAGGCAGCACAGCAGCCAGAGCGGTCCAGATTGCCAGTATGGCTACTGGTGTGCTCACCGGACTCTTTGTAGGTATGGACATCTACTTTGTGGCCAAAGACTCCAAAGAACTCAAGAAAGGGGCCAAGTCAGAGTTTGCGGCCAAAATCAGGGAGGTGGCTACGCAGCTTCACGACGGTCTGGTGGAGCTCAACGGGATACGAGAAGAGCTGCAGGCCACTTCTCCAGAAAATGACGCAGACAATGATACACCTGCTCCAGACAGTGAAAAGAAAGAGAAAGAGAAAGAGTACAAATATGACAGTTCAAGTGAAGATGAAATCGACCGCATTAAAAAGGCCATTAAACAGGACTATGAGAACCGAGAGTATGTCTGACAAAAAATAAGAACAGTGCTTTGACATAATGCTTTTAGAGCACGGTCAGTTTCCTGTTCTCCTACAAAATGTTCAATTGATTTTGAAAGTACATGCTTAAATCTCCAGCATACTGCTGCATTTTTAGCATCTATGAGGTGGTTGGTGCCAGTTTCTTAAAATGCAAAACTACTCTCAGGCCTATTTTAAACGCCAACAGAGGAAAGTCCACTCGATGAAATACACTAGTTTCTGAAACTTATGGACTTTTATGTTAGGGACCTGACCGCTTGCATGGAGCTGAGGCTTCGTGCTAGATAAAGTATCATATCTGCTTTTCTGGCTGCTGTGCCAACATGTGAAACTGCCATGTGGTCCTTAAGAAAATGGGCTCAAAGGTTTAACTAAATCATGTATTTGGATTGTAGATAATCAAAGAAACAAGTACAAAGTATTTTGTCAGCTTTATAATTTAGACTTTAAAGTGTTGCTTAGAGTTTCAAAGTGCATCAGTTAATATAGAAACACTTTTACTGACCAGGAGATTGTGTACACTCTTAGGGACAAGTGCCTTTATTATTTATAATGCCTTAGAAATGCATATGATGCAATGTAGCATTAGTCTGTTTACTCATGTTGTTTTTCTGGTGTCAGGGCTGCAACTAAATCATTTCTCTCTCATCCTCTGCTTGAGGTTTTGGATCTGATGTGGGATGTTTTAAAGTCTTGATATTGGTCTCATTTTGAAGTAGTGATGAGCTTTGTTTTCTAGCTACTATATAGTAAAAACTACTGATTGACTAAACTTGCTGCTTCATTAAAATGTAAAGGTTCTGTATGCTACATGCAGAGGATTACTATAGCTGCAGACAAATATTTGCTATGTAAAGATATAGTGGAGCAATGGCATCCTGAGCAGAGAATGAAGTCACGCTGCCTCAGGGTGTGTTGGAATTCGAGCTTCTCTATGGTTTGTTGTGGTAAGCTGGTCCGACCACGCATGCATGTTTGTGCATGTGTGTGTTCCACTGGCTAACTCATTGCCACTACTTTGCTCTGTGCTTATACAGTACAACAGTTTTTGCTGATATTTGGATGGTGTTGTTGCAGAGGTGAAGCGTTCATCCTCTGGTTCCCCCCTGGTAAACACCATTAGCTCTGTCAGCACTGTTGCTGTTGTTAAGTGCAGTTTACAGAGCTAGCACCATTAGCTGCTAGCGGCCGGCTCAGTTGAGAACCATGTCCAGACAACTCATACGACACCGTTAAGGAATGTCTTGGCTAATTAAGACTGTGGTGATGTGTAAATGAATCAAGTTTAGTAACTGGTTTTCACTCAGTTATAGTAGGTGTTTTAATGGCTTCCAGGTGTAAAATAATCCTTTACTAAACAACTGGAATGACAGAGGTCTGTAAAAACCAGCCATGATTGTGTACGTCTGTCCTGAAAGAATCTTCTGCCATTTCCTTTTAATGTGGCATTAATATTTAAAGACTTTTATTCCAAAGTCAGGGTCTGATATGCGGTTTGTACTGGAGGCTCTAATGATGTCAGCTCTGTGGTCTGTTTAATGAACTTAATATTTATTTTTCTGGGTGGAGTTGTTCATTCGATACTACCTTTTTATGTGCAATATATTGTAGATCTATGTGTAATTAATGTGAAATTGATAAATAAAGGCCAGAGAAACATATTCTGTCAGTCTGTTGCTTTGTAAAGTTTATATGCAAGCAAGCAAGCACTTAATTTCCTTCTTCCCACTGCTGTGCACTTACTGAGATCCTTACGTGTTCACTGTTTGCTTTTAATTTCCATGAGGTTTGCTTGCTGCATATGTCTCTGCATTTCTGTCACCTTTCACACTTGTGACATAATTAAGACATGATATACTACTTTGACCTTGTGTAAGCACAGTTATGTGACTGGGATTAAATTCAGGCTGCTTCCACACAGAGCGATAAATTCAGGTAGGCAGAGGCTCCATGTGCTCTTTTGTGAATAGATGTAGCGTAATCATATCTGATCAGTATAACCCTGCGCTGTGCTGTTCAGGGTTTGGAGCACCCCCGGTTACACTTTTAACCACTCCTAACAATGTACAAACCACACCTAGGAATACAACACTGCGGCAGGCCGAGACGATAAGCCATAGGAGGCCCGGACAAGATTTTCAGCAGATGTTAAGTTGCTCTTTAAACTGAACTGTTAGAATTTACCAATGACTTTTTGCACACCAGAGAGTCCTATTAATAAGTGATTGATGAATAAAAAGTAACCTTATAAGAATGATAATAACAATAATAATAATAATAATAATACTTTAAGACTGTTATGCTGCAAACTTTCTGTAACATTGTTTAAATTGATTTTTTCCCTCAGTCTAAACTTAATAGCCAGTGACAAAGAAAAAATGTATTTGAGATGTTTGCACATTTAATAAAAAGAAAAAAATGAAATACTACATTGATGTAAGTATTCAGACTCTATGACACTTACATTTTAGCTGAGCTGCCTCCGATTTCTCCTCCTCAAATGTAAGATGTCTCTATACTGGTCACTTCAATTGATTGGACATGATTTAAATCACTTCTTAAAACCCATTTTTATAGACTTGATTTTATGTCGTCTTTTTATTCATCTCTTTATTGCTTCTTGATTCTCATAATTATAATAACTATTATTATCTTTTTTTTATTATTGCTTTTATTCTTTTTATTGTCTTTACATTTATTGAGATGTTTTTACTGTTTTCATCTACATTTTTCATTAGCTACCATCTGTCTTCTGATATTTTTGGGGGGGTCTTATCTCTGGTCTTATTGTACCTACATTTTGTCTCACCTTAGTTATTATGATTATGATTATTATTATTATTATTGTCTGTCTACATAAAGTCCATGGCTAACCATGCATATCAGAGCAAAATCCAAGCCATGAGGTCTGAAAACTCTCAGTGCACTCACTGTATATTTATTAAGATATTTAGAGCGATAATAATTCCAGAAAATATAATTGAACAGTTAAATTAACTTAATTAATTGTGAAAAATAAAATAAAACATTGTGAAATTATAACAATGAGTTTGGCAATATTTTTAGTGTTGATGCTCCTGCCAAAATAATTACCACACCGTTTTGTATTCTTGGAGCAGCTCCCATCCCGTTTTGGTTTTTCCCTTACATGTTGTTGACGGCTATGAAACTCATGAGTCAGAGTCACGCCAGCTGGGAAACGCGTTTCTTTCACTCCCACAGCCACAGGTAGACCGTAAACTGGCCACGCCCAACTCCCCAGGTGAGTCGACAGCCATCACAAAGACACAAGGCAGACAAACGTTTCAGATCCACCACACTCTTCGACTGCAAAAAAAAATCAGGTGAGCTGTTGGACTTTTGATGCAGCCCCTCATCTTTGGAAACATCAGCAGATGGAGATTTTGTGACTGAGATCTTTTATGTGGCAGGAAGCCGCCTTACTGTGCAACAGCTGGTTTCAGTGAAAAAACTAGTGGCACAGAAGTTCTCAGGGCGTGTTTAGGTTTGTTTAAGATGCTTTGTTCGACTTGTAAGCGGTGTTGCCTTTGGGTGGTGTCGGAAATATTAGTATTGCTTAATGTGGCGGTGGGTGCTGTTGAGAAACATGGTGGCAGGAGATGGTCCAGTAAAGTGTATGAGTAGATGAAATGTAAAGGTGGAGAAGAAGGAAGTTACATCAGCAAGTAATGCTGACAGTGGTGTGCATATTATTGTTGTTTTGTACATAGGTTAAATGAATAGTAGGCTACTGCTTGCTTATATTTTGCATTTATGCATATCTTTTCATTTTATTGTGTTTTGCTGGTGTAGTTTAACATATTTTCGGATGAAACAAGATGCTGATACTAGGACTGGTTATTCAAAATGCATTAATATCAGAGCCAATATGATACCCTTTTTTTATTTATTTATTTTTATTCATTTATTTTTGTTTGTTACTGACACTATTATGATACCTTTTTCAGTCTGGCTTTGATAAGAATTTAAATATTTTAATTTATTCTTCTGTTTTCATTTCATAAAGTAGGCCCAAACTGTGAATCATCTTTATGTTTTCCTGACAAAAACTGCATTAAAGAACTTAATGTAAGCAGAATTAGTATCTAAAATATAACATTTAAATATGATGCTCGATATGTATGTATATATAGAAAAATATAATAATAATAATAATAATAATAAATCAGTCCTGCATAGTTAGATAAAATAAATAAAAAATATTTAAATAAAAATCTAGAATAAAGGGAGATGTCCAATAACAATAATACTGCATGAATGAATGTGCAAAGTCAAGTGTATCATTAAAAAATAAATAAGTATTAAAGTAATTATAATAAAATCTGTTTATTTTTCCTTGATGACACAAACTTGGGCTTTACCAATTTTCAGTAAGGAAGTAACACTTGTACTTAAGTGCAGTAATCAAACCTATTCTTAAATAATAATAATAACAATAATAATAATAATAATAATAATAATAATAATGTTTTTGTGGAAATATGTGAGAAACGTGGTAAATGTGAAGCATTATAAATATGGAGCTTACATGTGAAATTTTTTGAAATATAAACTATTGTCATGCAAAGGAAACCAACACTACTTATAGTGTAAGAGCTATAAGAGAAAAACCAAAACTCTTGGGTCGGATGTGACTGAGTGGTTGAGATTTCGGAGCTGTCTGAGGAGTTCTTGAACGCCTCATGCGTGCAGATGTTGTGTGGGTGTGGTGAAGTTTTAAAAACTCCTGGGAATGTTGTGACAGTGAAGGAGCCGTCACTGCGCTCTGCTCTGCTAAAATTAGTTAAAAACTGCATGTGAGTTATCTCTGAACTGTCTTCAGACATTCGGTAGGTGAAACCGCTCAGTCTGACATTAACGTGATTTAGTTTAACTGGTTTTTAACGTTTTAAACTTATAATTTACCGTCCGTTTAAATGACGAGTAAGTTAGCGACAGTTTGCACAGTTGCTAGTTAACGTTAACGTTAGCTAAAAGTTTTCAGCATGTAAGCTAATATAACGTTACAGTAACTCAAAGAGTTCCGCACAGCCAGGCTACAGTTTTAGGAAACGTGTGTTGTGATGTTGGTACTTCTCTAAAGGGTTCATACAGAAAGTGACCACTGTAACATGTATTTCCTCATGTGTTAGTTCTCATAGTGATTATTTGACTTCTTCTACTCCATTGACAATTGTAATATTATTTTAGGCTATTGTTACGTTAGCTGTAAAAAAGGTTGTCAGATACCTAAACTCTACTCAGGTGTTGTCCCTCTACAGTATTGAGGCACTTATTCTTGAGAATTGCCATTTTGTTCTTCATTATGCTCCTTTACTTTTCATTGTACCTCATCCTACTGCTTATATTTACACTGCAGGTAAAAACATGATGTGCTTATAAATGTGATGGATTGCTATTCAGTGCTGAGCTGCTAAGTACATTACACTCCTGATAATGGAGTACTTCAAATACAGTGCTTCTCCAATGACAATTATTCCTCATCAGTTGTAAAATAATGATAACTATGTTAGCTTACATGGAGGTGGGGGGAAAAAACTAAGAAACTATACTCAAATTATGTACTGCAACAGTTTTATGGTACTTGTGTTTGAGAATTCCCATTTTACTTTTCACTGTACTGCATATTGCTGGTAATATTTACTAAAAGTAAATGTTTTTCAAGCAAAACATGATATTCTTTTGAATGATGGATTTTTATTTAGTACATATCTGCCAGGTAAATTATGCTTCTAATACTGTAGTACTTTTGAGCAAGTTGAATGCGGTACTTGTACTTTTGGTTTGTTATATTTAGGGCTGTACCTAAAGATTACTTTCTCGTTTCAATTTTTGATAATTTGAAGTTAAAAAAATCTTAAAATAATGATTAACATAAAATTATTATTATTGTTATTATTATTATTATTATTATTATTATTATTAGAGAGACACATAGATCAATATAAATATCAAGAAGTGACATGAGGTGCAAGAGCACTTGCAAGTACAATAAGCAGAATAAGAATGGAATACATGATAAAGAGAAAACGACCATAAGGTTGACTCACGGCTCACATGCATGTAAGAAACTACATAGACAATACAGTCTCAGGTAAGAGAGGAGAATTAATTAAATCTCAAAGAAGTGAAATGAGACCAGAAAGGTTCCCAAATTTTGACAAACTTTTCTCAATCATTCTTTCTTGTGTATCTAATTTTCTCCAGGTGCAAGAAGCTTATTAGGTCTCTCATCCACTGAATAAACAAAGGGGGATTCTGTAGTTTCCAATTCTGAAGTATGAGACACCTCATCAGCAACAGCATTACTTAGTTTAGGGGAAGCTTAGATGATAATTGACCTTGTTGGGGGTTAGAGTTTTGCTGATTGATTATTTATTTATTAGTCTCAGCTCAAGTGGTGTTTCTTCTGCCAAATAATCTGAATACGTCTTTCAACCAGTGATGAAGTATATGTATATATAAAAATATGAAAGACAGAAACCAAAAATTTGTTGATCCTGCTAAAAAGTATTGCCCATATAGCCAATGCTTGATAATTAAGAAGCTTATACCCCCGTGCCATTGAGCTTCATTGTAGTCCAAAAACTGCGAACAACAAATACTGGGCTGACATATTTCTTCATTATGATGAATGCAGTCAGTGTAGTTTCTTCCTCTTAGCAGTGTTAACATAACACTGTGAACTTGAGCATGATCAATGGCATCTGTCCAACATCGCTACTTAGATAACACAGTCCTGGAGTTTCAAGTGTAAATTGAACTTTGTTTGCCAAGAACAGTTTAACACAAATGCAGTTCACCCAGTGCAACAGTCTGCAAATTGATCAGTTTTAAATGGGTTTTGACTGACAATGGAGTTTTGTCTGACAATACTTGTTAGTTTTGTTTATTCAGACAATTTGTTTGATAATAATTAAAGCTAACATAATGCCAGCGTAATCCTTTTTCCAGCAACTGACCGCATATTTACGTGTTTAAACATAGAAGCTTCTCAGTACAAACAGGAACCATTTTGCTTTGTCACAGTAGGGGAATCACAGGTGTTACTAATAACATAATGATGGCTCATCGCATTTAGGTGCCTCAGTTAGTCAGAATGTACTATGTCAGAGCTTTGTCCCAATTTTTTACTCCAAACTAATTCTGCGCAGGTTTTGGACTGTCTTGAGTTACTGTGCCTCGCAAACGTGTTCACCTCCTTTGCATTACAACCTGTTTTTTCATTTGGATTTAAGGTAATGGGCCTACACAAAATAGTCAAAGTTGGTGATGGGAAACGAAGAAAAAAAATTGTTTTAGAATTTCTAAAAAATAATTCTGTAATAATGGATTTAATGGTGAAGTTTCTGATATTTTTTAGACCCCCAGCCTTGATCTGTACTTACTCATAACTTTATTGCTGAACTGTTTGGAGATGTGGTAGCAGTTGTTTAGTAGTGTTGCAGACTTTAGGGCCTTTAAAAAGAGGTGTATATATATCGAGATCATGTGACTCACTAAGATTGCACACAGCTGGATTTTATTTCACTAATTACAAGGCTTTTGAAGGTAATTGGTAGCACCAGAGATCATTAAGGGGCTTCATAGCAAAGTGGGTGAATATGTATGTACACACAACTTTTCAGTTTTTTATTTTTATAACATTTAGATTTTTTGTTATTTAAGTTCACCAGTTTTGACTATTTTGCATAGGTCCATTACCCAAAATAACCCAAATAAGAAATCCATTTAAATTACAGATTGTAATGCAACACAATAGGAAAAATGCCAAGAGGGGTGAATACTTTTGCAAGGCACTGTATATCCCACATTGCAATGCCCTAAGGACATAGAGGAGCTGCTCACAGCTGCAAAACATCACAAGATGGATGGTGGATGGTGGTCACAGCGCTTTAGGAAGATCTTGGAAAATGAAAAATAAGCTTTGAATCTTTGTGGAAAAAATACAGTGTTCACAACATATTGGATGGAAAAGATTACCTTGTTGAAAACTTGAAAATACAGTTGTATGATGAAAGAATTGGTACTGCGAAGGTTAAAATACTGCTGACAAAATAGTACCATATCCATTAAATCTTATTTTAACTGAGCTGGATGACACACTCTGGTTAATGTGAGGTGTCCATATTTGTTTGGTTTTCAGCAACTTCAGTATTATCAGGCTCCAAGTCAGACATATCAGAGCTTTCAGAAAAGTCAGAAGTTGATGTGAAACTTATAATACCTAATGAAAAACTGAAGCAATAAATAGTACATATACTGTTAGTATGTAGTGAGGAATAGGTACACATAACCTGGCCTAAGTGGAATGCAGGTATTATTTATGTTATTAATAACACCTGTGCCTTTCCTGTTACGGCATGTCACAAGATATGCTGTGAAGTGGAAGAAGTTGGTGAGAGTCTCTGTCTCTTACTTCCATCTGGTCCAGTTGGCTTTCAAAGTAGAAATGCTTTTATCACAGACCAACACAAACCTATGATTGGTCCTGTTTACATGTTAGCTCTCTTTTTGTCACTCTTACAGACATGATGGAGGCGTGTATGATGAAGCCAGAGGTCAACAAGAAACCAAAGCCAGTGAGAACATTCACATCTAACATAAAACACTAAACTGATGCAGTCTGAATGTATAAATAATCTCAAACTCACCATACCACTATGAAAGTCTCACCTACTGTATCATATTATTCAATACACTTTCATTTCTTCTCTGCTTACAGCCTAAACGGCCTCCAAATCCTGTTGAGGTACTGTGATAATAACTTTTAAATAGCTGTGTGACTGTGTTAATCGTGTGTATGCTGAAGTGTATGTGCGGTGACATCAGTAGGTTTTGTAAATGTGTCTTCAGGATGGCTTCACACTTAAGTAAAAACTGTCTTCACAGATTAAAAAGAATGACCCAGAGAGACTGGAGAAACCAACTCCTGTGGTGCCTCAGCGACCTAAAGACTCCGTAAGTCCAGATCAATGTTTTTTTCACTGATAAAGATCGGCTGTATTGAGCTACATAGACTAAAGCCCAATCCGATCCTCATGTCTGCTTTCACACAAATGTTCCTACTCGCAAGGCTTTAATACAGTGAGGCAGAGTGCAGCTGTCATCAACTCTTCAACTCTCCACTGTCTGTCTCTCTACTCTGTGTGTGTGTGTGTGTGTGTGTGTGTGTATGTGTAAGCCCCTGCTCTTACACACAGCATGAGACCGTTTACTTACGATATATAAAATTACCAAATGTATGCGCACTCATTTCTTTTCAGCTCAGTGTGTGAGAGAGTAGCTTACGTTTTGCTTGTTTGTCATCTAATGTGCATAGTGTGTCACCATAAACACTCAACACACAGGATGCCACTTCAAGTGCAAGAAAAAAGCCCCACAAACAAACAGTTTATACAAGTAATTTGTTAATATAATCCACACAAAAGATGTACAAACAATGAAAGTAAACACTCAGTGGAATACACTTCATTCAGTTTACTCAGAGGCTACACACTGGAGAACACTCTCTGACAGGGATAGAGAAAGAAAGGAGAGGTTTGTTATTTTATACTATACTAACAATCCAAATAAAACCCCCAAATATTACAGAACAGCTGCGATAAAGGCAGTTTTATTTTTCTTAATGCATTGCAGAGCTATCTGACTGTCTTTTAACTTTAATGCACTTGAAGTGTGCAGTGTGCAGCTGTATTATCAAAGTAGAAGAATCAGATCAGGCCTTGTATCAGCTGATACACAATATTAAATGACTGATCAAGATAAAGGGCAAAAACCTTGATAGGGACATTGCTACAGTATATAATTCCCGGAAGACACTACAAACCGGTGATGTTTCTCTTTAGGCCAGTTATAATGTAATTGTTTTGTGTATCCCAGAGTTTTCCATCTACTGAGCACATGTGGTAGGCAAACATTCCTGATCATCTGGTAACATTTAAGTGAATTCACATAGACTGGATTCTAGAGGATTTTTTATGGATTTTTCCACTCTGCGAGGAGGAAAACTGTGGGTTAATCCATCCATCATATCATTTTGATAACGCAAAATCATTACTTTTCAAGATATTAAATATTGATTATTAACAATACCAGAACTGATATAAGCCTCATAAACTATTTGAAAGAAGTAGAAAATATCTGATTTTTTAATATGTATTAACAGTGTTTTAACATACAACTTTGAAATATCTTTTACAAAAGTCACAAAATAAATTGAAGAGGAAATGAGGGGAATGGCCCACTTTTTATGCCTCTGCGTCTGTCACAGACGTTGCAGGAGACATTATGTTTTCAGGTTGTCTGTCCGATACTTGTGAATACGATATCTCAAAAGCACCTTGATGGAATTTCTTCAAATTTGGGAGAAACGTCCACTTGGACTCAAGGATGAACTGATTAGATTTAGGGGTCAAAGGTTCAAGGTCACTGTGACATCATAATGTTCTGCAAAAACACTTTTCTAGCCATTATTCAACGTCATATCTCAGGAACAGAAGGGGAGACATTTGGTCAGATACTGAATTGATGACACTAATCTTGGGTCCCCATTTCAAGTTTGGCTTGTATAGATCTGTGCTGCTGGGGTAAGGATGTGTGTGAAGCATCCATGTTTAAAAAAAAAAAAAAAAGTAGCCAAAAAAAAAGTCTCCATGCACACTTTCTGCAGCATCTCAACACACAAAGAGCTGGGTGAAGGCGAATATCGTATAGATCAGTGGTTGTGGTGGTCATGAAATACAGTCACATCACTGGTCTCATAGCTCTGAAACAGCTGTGCCACCATTACACAAGATAACAAGCTCTGCAAACGGAAAGCTTTACCTCAGGAAATATCTTGATGGTTCAGAGCGTCACAACATGAACATACATCACCATAATCTGCACGCAAGGGAGATGGAGTCTGATAACAATAATTCTAACATATCTCACCTCCTATATTGTCACATAGTTTTGTTACAGAACAGTGTTTGCACTGCAACATGTGTCCTGGATGAAATATGAGACACTTCATAAAAAAGTAGAATATCAAGTTATAACTGACTAGCCTGATGTGTACAGGTTTTTATGGTTATACTGTAGCAATCTGGTGTTGTTTTCAGGTGATTTAATAAAGGAGAAGAGTGAATGGTTGTGTGTAACAGCCGTGCATTAGCCAGGGCACCCATACCCTCAAACACCGGTCCCCAGTTTTAATCACCATATTTGTATGAATTATTTGACTCATAAAATCTCTTTGCTTTGGTGAGCGTCATATAGAATGCTTATACACTGGGCTAGTTTATCAGGCACCTGTGTTAAACGTGCTGCAAACATGCTGAGAATATAAATAATTTATTTCAGTTAAGCACTATCCAACCAAAATCAGCACAGAAAATAATGTTTAATGTGGTTAAAGTAAGTAAATCAGTCTGCACTGATCTGTGTGGGTGATTAAGTATCTGCTTACAGGAGTTTCTCCTTCAGTTTATGAAGCCCCTGAAGAATTTGAAGGCAGCAGGACTGATATGTTAATAAATCTGCAGCCTCTGAAAAGCGCTGTGCCAGAGCGCAGTGCTGTTACGCACAATCATTTACAGTCCACCTTCATTGAATTGCTTTAAAATGATACCAGGCTGCTACAGTATAACCATCAGACTGATCAGTTATAACTCGGTTTTCCTCTTTTTTATGAAGGAGAGGTCTGGTTACCAGGGCTCATCATAGCCTCTTTTCCATCTTTCTTTTTAGCTGTTGTGTAACAAACTATGTGACCATGTATGAGGTGAGACATGTTAGAACTACTGCTATCGTACTCCATCTGTCTTTGGCTGCAGATTTGTGGTGATGTATGTTCATGTCGTGACGCTCTGAACCATCAAGATATCATTTGTCTTTTTTTCCAACCATCTATTTTTACTCCTTCATGTCCCCTTGGGTGTTCAGTAGGTTAGTGTATTAAACATAAGTATGATTATTTAATATGTGGGTTTACATGTGAGGCGTACATATATTTATACTGAACAACACTCTTATGGTTATGATGAAATTGATTTTAACCAATATTCTGTTTTCTGTTACCTTCACACTTTTTTTGCATTACTCTCCAAATAGGACAATAATGCAAAAATTGATGCCATAGATACCACCAACTGATGACATTTGTTATTCACTTTTCTATGTTTTTTAGGCTAATGGAGGCTTAATACAAACTCCCGTGGTTCCTCCCAGACCCACAGAAAAGGTGCAGTACAGCCAAATACTCCAATATATAATACTCATCAGAGTAGCCCAAACTCAGTTCAGCTGATAATCAAAGCTGATAATTCAGTTTGTGTGAACGTGTGTTTGTTTCACATCAGCAAAGATTTCTAATTGATATTATAGTTAATCATCAACCTCTGAGGTCTGCAGTTTAGTCTGAAAACACTTTACAGTTAAGAAGACACGCAGGGTTTCATGTTTCTTTCCTGTTCCAAATATCTTTTGTTATTGTTCCCTTATGGGCATTTTGTGTCTTTTGCAGGAACTGAACGCCGCAACCAGATACAGCCAACGTAGGAGGGAACAGGCTGAGGACACACAGGTACATACACGCACACACAAACAATGAATGAAATATCATGTTCCTTCTTGGTTGTTTTTAGAAATTTCAGAGTCATTGTCCTTCGTCTTCCTAATCAGAGACAATCAGAAGTTGCCAAAGATGAAGCAGACTTCACACAGGTATTTCAGCTGATGCTTTTAACTCGCAGCTCTGACCTGATTTCTAAACAGTGTATAAAATGTCTTCCTCTTTATTTTCATATACTTTGTTGTAGAGCAATCAGCCAGCCTTGACTGGAATGTTTCGACGGAGCCAAAAAGAGAAAATGCCTAAGTTCACTGTAAGATATGCACCACACTCACCAGTTAAAAACAAGAGGCTCTGTTCAAAACTTAACAATTTTTTAAAAGTTTTTTGTAGTCGTGTTAACTAACCCATTATCTGGAGTTTAAAGATGGAGTGCAGAACTTTTTACTCCCTCTCTTGCAGTGAGTGTAATTACAAAAACACTGTCGATGTGTGGTTATGACGTAAGCCTGCAGGTGAGCTTGCGGCATCTCCTTCGCTGATCCCTTCTCGACTTTCAGCGCTCTCCAGTAACGAAAAGCTACACTAGTGGTAATTTGTGTTTGTGCTCACCATTGATCGCTTCACTGAAATCCTTCCTCTGAACGTTCATTTTTTATCTGGAACATCTACTTCGGAAACTTTTCATGGATGCTTCTTAGGATTTTCCATCATAGCTTCCGCCAAAGTCCTAGCTGCTACTCTGTTGCTGTGGTCTCTTCCTCAGAGTTCCTGCAGATCCTTAAAAAGTCTTAAAAGGCATTGAATTCATTAATCAAAAAAATAAGGTCCTAATTGGTATTAAAATGTCTTAAATCAGTCTTTCAAAAGCCTTAAAAATGCTAGGATGTGGATCGAGGGATTTTATAAATCTTTTATTCTGACATTGAATTGTAAAATGCAAAGATTATTGGTACCATCTTTGAAAAAAAAAATTCACAGAATGCCTCTTACATTACCATCATACAGATCAGATTAGCCAAAGACTCACATTTTGTTTCTGACTGTGACGCTAACAGCTGATCTACCGTCTGTTAGCTAGCTGTAACTGTACCCTGGATGACACAAGGGAGTGCAAATTCAACAAAAATTAGCTGTTGAACCAAGATTTCCCGCATGGTTGAAATATTACAAAGCAATTACTATGAGCCTTGGTGTGTTTTATGCTAAAACTTTTTCAGGCACGCCAGATAGGAATCAAGGCGGTAAAAGCCTGCATGCAGAGTGAGTTCATGTTTTTTTTAAAAACATTTTTTTTATTTGGCTTTTGTAAAATTGGTCTTAAATTGGTCTTGCTTCAACATGCTTTAGGCTGTGGGAACCCTGTACCTCCTCTCTGTCCCCTTTTGCTCTGGCCGTTTTACATAAAACACATCACTTCCAGTGCGGCAGTGTAATGAAGTTGCTATAGACACCTGACAGAAAACTTACTAAAACTAAAAATTTACATAATTTTATAGATGTTAATACAAATGTCACTTTACAAGTAATCAAATATATATTTATATTAAATCATACACTGACTGGAGGGTTGACAGCTGTGTCAAATCCTGACACAATTCCTCAACTCCACAAATGACTCAAATCCCTTTTGGCTTATACTGTATGTATAAGAAATATTTACAAACGTGTGTGTAAAGGTTTCAGACACTACAGTGCTCTGGCTAAACAGGTTTCAAGTAGCAAGCAGGTGTGTGTGGGTGTGTACAAGCATGAAACATAAATGTGTATTCAGACGTATAGTAGGTGTGTATCAGCTTGTATAAGCTGCTGGTTACGACTGACTGATGCTGTTCAGTAAGTTGTTCAATGAAAGAGAGTCATAATTAACAAATAGAGGAAAAAAGGCAATGGGATAAATATGACAAACAATGTTTTAGAGGCTGTTAGTGAGATATATAAAGCAGAATGGTCTTTTAATCAGCAGTTGTTGAGTGTTTGTCTGATGTTTTTTTCCTTCTCAGAGTTACGTGACCCATGACCTAGAGGAAAAAACTGAAGATGTCCCGCCCAAACAGGCTCCTGGCAGCAAACCGGTGTGTGTGTGTGTTTGTGTGTGTGTTCATGTGTGTGTCCCATTGTTGATGTCATCAGCTGGTTTGTGACATGTGACTGTGATTGACAGGGTGGTCTGAAGGGAGTAATGAAAGGGTGGCAATTCAAGTCGTCACCAAAGGTATGAAGCACCATCTGGTTTGGTGTTCTCTGCTGGTGGTGGCTGCAGAATTTTATTTCCCAGTGTTTCCTGGTGACTTCATACACGATGGAAGTATTGTTGCTTGTCTTCTGCTGCTGGTGGTGGCTGCATTTGTAGTTAAAAACAAATGCTCAGACAGGATGAATCCTTGTAAATGATTTTTACTGATTGTCGCATTAACTGTTGGCATCAACTTTACTTGGGCTTAGCTGTGCTTTCAGAACAAGTTGTTGTGTTGAAGATTAAATGAAGTTTATCCTCTTCTTTTTTTAAACAATTTTATGTCTGTCAGTGTCACTTTTAACTCCTCTTTTTTTGGTTCTTTTATTTTTAGTGTTTATTTTATGGCATTCTACTAGGGAAAGATTAACGTCCCAACAAGATTATCTGACTGTCGGTTGTGTTGGTGGCTCAGGGGTGCTTTAGTCTGCTTGGAAAAAACTTTTGGAAGATGGAAGATGACATCATTGTCAGTGTATCCATCCATGCTTCTGCTGTATTTGGTTAACCCAAACTAGGTCAATCACCTGTCTTGCATGTCCTTTGGTAGAATTTATTCATTTTAAAGAATTCAGAATTCAGTTACCAGCAAAGTTAACTGGATTTTTTAAAAAACCTTTAAAGGGCCAGTGTGTAAAATGGGATGAAAACAGTGACATCAGTGGTCAAATTCTAGATTGCAGGGCTCACTCGCTCACCCCTCCCATCGGGTAAATGACGGAGGCCTCATAGGGACAAAAAGCCTTGCGTAGACACGAGTTTTTCAGGAGTAGGTCTATCTAGTGACGAGGTGAATGTTTATTTAGAAATCTAAACCATGTTACGATATTGTAATGAATCCCTCTCGAGCAGGAGACTGGAGTAGCGTTCGGGAAAAAGGCCAGTTTATTTGAGCACTCCAAAAACTCTGGTAACACTAACACTAAAAGACTCCGTCCCAAACTCTGACTCTTCTAGCGTAACAGACACACTTCATACACACATACTCGTTTACCATACCAAGTGGGTACCCCCTCCCCTCTCTGCTCAATCTCCAGCCCACACACTGACTGACAGCGTAGCCGGTAAACAGAGCTCAGCTGTTTATTTAGCCTAGCAATATCTCCGGACTATAGTAGCTGCAATGGACGACTTTGAACGCGATTTTGAAGAGTTTCTTGTAGCGGACACAGACCCAGAGCCATACCTGTTTGAGCTGGAGTACACAGGTGAGAGCCGGAGTACACTGAGCGAGTGAGAAGAGAGGCTGAATCCTCCGCTCCCATTTTGCTGCACAGAATGGGATTCGGTGCTACTGTTGTTGGGGAGATATATCATCAGGAGGAAAAGCGCCGCAGAGAGTGCATCACAAGGAGTTAAGTTGCGTCTTCTTTTCCTCGCAGATGACGGTTCGGGTTCATTCTCTCCTGTTGCGTGGTAAGTGTGGTCGATTCGCAAACTTTATAACTAAAAAAACTTTTCACTACTCTCCATCGACGTTATCCACTTCAGCGTTGTAGTTTCCTGTAAAAATGTCCGTGAAAAATCCCCGCGATGTGAAAAATACATGCCGAGCAGTCACTGGTGTGCGAAGCGGAGTCCGCGCAGTCGTAAAATCTGAGCTTTGCACGCACAGGGCTTGCGGACGTCCGCTTTGAGTCTGCACGGACCTCCGCGGAGTCCGTTCCGCGTATGTTCTGCCCGAGTATGTTCGGGCCTTTACACTCTCTGCTGTTTCCTCCTCCTTCTTCCTTCCTCCCGCTGTCTTTGTTGGTTTATTTATACACGCGAAACGCGTTCTCTGGCTGGCTGGATTGTCCGCTCGGACTGCCGTACATACATGGTGTGGCAAGATGGCGACCTCTCTAAAGCAAGGCCCTTGCTATATATATATAAAAGCATAATTATAAGGCTACGAAAACCAAACAAATTTTATTTTATAGCGATTATACACTTATATAAACATATTAATGGGTAGAATATTCAGATTCAGATTCAGATTGAAAATAAACCATGCCAAATATTACACACTGGCCCTTTAAAGCATCCACCTGGAATTCCACATCTTGTAAATTGCATTCATTAAGCAGCTGTAAATATAGATGTGGGTGTTACAGAAGGATTTTTATCCTGGAGACAGTTTGAGCTGTAAATTGTGTAAAAGGATCAGGAAAATCTTTTTAACTTCAAGTGCATATATTAAATTGTAGTGTTCTCTGTTGTCTGGTTGTGTTAATAAAAACTTTAGAAGGCTCATGTTGTGCTAAAGATTGTCGACTCTTCTTTAAGGTCAGCAGAGAGCAGAGTGTAGACCCTGGTGCCGAGGAAGTCAACTCTGACGAGGAACAATCCGCAGAAAAAAACAATCAGGAAAAGACTGCAGAACCCAAACAGGTGAGAGACCAACAACAGGCTGCCTCTGCTCATGTTAACAAACCAGTTCTGCTTCTGCCCTCTGCAAACAAAATCATACATAGTTGTGCTATTTAAGTGACAGGGAACAACAAAGTGCATGTATTCTTTTTAAAATCAGATTGAATGCTCTAAAAGGAAACCACCATGTGCACTTCCTTTTAATGCACAATAACTGTGAAAACTATGTGAAATGTGTTGTTGACTCAGGGGAAGCCACACAGTAACAGTATTATTTACTTTTTGATTCATTATTTACACTTGAAATGTCCACAGGCAAACAGGGAAAGACAGTATTAGATATTCTCTGTCTTTATTGAAGAAAACACTTGAAGGCAGCTTGTCATTAGATGGATAAACACATTATTTTTTCTCAACCTTTGGTTCAGGACATCGGAGGTCTGATTGCTGGAATGTTCAGGAAAACTCCCAAAGAGAAGTCTTCACATCCTTCTGTAACGGTAACATAAACTCTACTGCTCATTTTCTGACCATAAACTTTCGCTTTCAGTCTTTTGTTGCCTGTTGCTCATTGTCTTGCCATTTCATCGCCAGCTCAGCAAATCAGACAGTGATACTGAAGATGCAGAAGAAGCAGGAGATAAGGTTGGTATTGTGTTTTGTGGATTTACAGGGTGTGCTTCAGTGAAACAACCAATCCACATAGAGCTTTTTTCTTCTGCTATGCTAGTGAAGCGTTAGATAGCTTTTAAAGTCATACAAGGGTATCTGCATGATTTGATCAAGGCCCCCAATGTCGCTGTGAGCTTTCTGATTCCACTATAGGTGGAGAAATAAAATCAATTAATCAGTAAATAAAAACTTCCTTTACTCGCTTTATTATGAATCCCCAGTAAAACTACAGAGTCAACAACAGTGTCCTGTGTTACCAGAAACCTTTTGTATCCAAACCCTATTGAAAGATATGCCTAAAATATCTGAAGAGATCTCTGTGTTCACACATCAAAGTCAGGGGTAAGAAAGCTTTCATCCTTATCTGTCAAAGTGTGTGTGGCAGAAATTGAAATTTGTTGTGTTGTGCAGCAGCATCCTTAGGGCTAGGTGGGTGTCTCTTCTGTTTTGTGTATCTATGTTTGCATTATTACAGACTGTTATGTTTTTTACAGGAAAAGGGAGGCTTCTTCTCTGGCATCCTTAAAAAATCCAGTAAAACAACAGATGAGACACCTGCGCAGGTTAGTGACAAAAATGGCGTCCTTCTGAAAATAAGGTCCAGTGTGTGGATTTAGGGGCATCTATTGGCAGAAAGGGTATATAATATTCATGACTATGTTTTCATTAGTTTATAATCACTTGAAAATATGAATTGTTTGTCACCTTACAATGAGTCATTTATATCTGCAAATGGAGTGGGTCTAGTTCACATAGTTTGCCATGTTGCTATAGTAGCCCAAAGCAGACAAACCAAACACTGGCTCTAGATAGGGCCATTTGTGTTTCTGCATTTTCACTTGTCTATGACTGACTTGTCTATCATTTTGGTTTCAGGACAATCTGAATGCTCATAGTGAGTTGTCTGCCAGCAGCGACAGTCTGTCTGAAAACAACAAGGTGAGCAGCATTGTGTCACAGTATGAGTACAGAGATAAAGTTATCTTTAATTACAGTGTACATACATACTAGTAGATTGTTCTGCCAATTGACTCCTCATTGAACTGACCTTGACACAAATAAATCTGCCAAAACCGAGCGTGTGTGTGTAATATTCTTGTGCCTGTTTCAGGAAAAAGGAGGAATATTCAGTGGGATGTTCAAGAAGACTCCAAAACCAACAGAAGCTGCACAAACTGACGAGGTGACAAAGTTGAAAAACCTGCTTAAACATTTGTGTGTTATTATAGACGTTCACAGATTTATTATGAAACTAATATAACAAAGCCGAAACGGCCATATGAGTAGTTAAATCCAGTGACATGATAATCATATTGAACCAGTTCATGTTGTGTTCTAGGACCAACAGTCTCTACATGACGGTCTGTCAGGCAGTAATGACAATGTGTCTGAAAACTCAAAGGTGAGTTCAGAAGTTTTTTGTGACGTGACTGGATTTAAATTGCAGTATTATTATTATGTAACAGTCATGACAGTGTAAATGGTCAACAGGAAAAAGGAGGATTTTTCAGCGGGATCCTCCGAAAGTCTCCCAAGATTCCTGGAGAGGGAACACCTGGACAGGTAATGTCACCAACATGTTTCTGCACAGATTTTAGATGCTTTATTCATCACTGAAAATGTGTGTCATCCTACAGAATGTCAGACTTTCCACATTTTTAACCTGCTATATTAGGAGAATGTGAATATTAGTGTAAATAAAAATTCAGTGTGTTAAAATGTTGGTGAGTACGTAAGAGGATTTCAGAGCGCACAAAGGTTGTTAGTTTGTCTCTCAGTGTATTTTTTAACAACAGACTGAAAATCTGTCTGGTCAGTGTGAGCGTTGTTGTCTGAGACAGTCAGTGCAAAATCAAATCTGAGACAGTCAGTTGCAAAATCAAAAAAGCAAGCACTCTCAAAACTATATAAACTCGTAAGGTGCACGGCCAAAAACAGTCAAAAAAGGGAAAAACGCCAGCACTCTCAAATGTCCTTTTAGTTCAGTTTAATTAACCAGCTTGGATGGTCTGTGTACTGGTGCTGCCATCCAAGCTGGTTAATTAAACTGAACTACTGTAAAAGGACATTTGAGAGTGCTGGCATTTTTCCCTTTTTTGAGACACTCAGTGCAAAATGCCTTGAAAGGGTGACGTGCAGTATTTTGTCTCTGTGTTTTGGGATTTCAAAAAGTTGTACTAACAGGGTTGATGAGGGTGTATTTGTTTAGTTCACTTTGACGGATCAGTCCCAGATCCCGGATATCGAGGTGCACAAAATAAAACACAATACAAAAAAACTAAAATAATACTGTACATAGACTATACAAAACGCAATAATACACAATACTAAAACAAAACAATCTCTGTTTTTATGATTCATTATTAATGAATCAGTTTCAAGTTTAAAGCTCACATAAAATTACACTACTGGTCAAGTAGGTATGATTTTAATGCAGTATTTACTTGAACTAAATCATTTCTTTGCTGTAAATGAAAATTTTACTTGTGTTTCTGTCTTCACTTTTATTATTCAGTAACAATCATTACCTATTTTGAATTAAGAAGCAGTATATTAAACTTTATTAAATGGTTTATAACACACATATGTAATTTTTAACAGATATAAGGACATTTGCACATGTTAAAGGCAATAACAGAACTTGAAAGCATACACCAGAGAGGGTGCAACATGTAACTAATTATGTGTGTCATTGTCAGGAATCTTCCCTTGTTGGAGTACTGTTTATTGATCAAACCACTGAGACATTTTGTTGAATTTTTTTCAGGATAAACAGTCGCTGCAAACGGACCCAGCAGACAGTAATGAGACTTCTTCTGAGAGCAACACCACTAAAGTAAGAGACTTTATGAACATTTTTGGGGTGGAGATCAGGGGCTGAAACCTGTATTTGATTTGAAACCTCCCCTACACTGAGAACAACAGTGCAGCACCCCAGTACAACCTCTGTTTCAAGCTCATGTGTTGTAATGGAACAACATTTTTAATATAGTGTAAATTGCACATTAGGAGTGGGAACATAAGTAATGGTGCTTTTTCTTTACCATTGCCGTACTGATTCCTGGTGCTCTTTTTTAACCAAGTTAACAGAAAAGTTGCATACTTTTCTTATTAATGTTTAATTCCTATTTACTATAAAGATCTATGTCTACCCTGTCTCAAAACTAACTTTAAAGCTTTTACAAGTTGCCTGTCATTAAAGAAACATGATATTTGTCATCTGTTTTGTCCTCCTTTTTTGTAAATCTTGCCCAAAAAAGGGTTAAACAATATAAATCTTACTCAAAGACTCTCCCCAGCCATCCACAAAAACTGAAAAATGCCCAACCCTCCCCTTTTCTGACCCCAAGAAAAAGAAGTTATGCAACCTTCTGTTTTGAACGTTGTAGCTTTACATATTTGTCCTCAGTATCCAGAGCAAAGCCTTAATGAAACAATTTTAGGCAAAGCATTGTCACAAACAAACCAGTAACTTCAAATCCTCAAATCAGAAAAAGGCACTGACAGTGAGTTTCTTGTTTTTCTTCATGTAGCAGGAGAAAGGAAGTGTTTTCAGTGGAATGTTCAAGAAGTCTCCCAAACTCTCTGAAGCCCCTCGACTGGAGGAGGTAAAATATTTAAATACTAAACTGTCTCTTTGAAAGCCTTGGAGCTAATGAACTGTGAGTTTATGGCGTCAACAACTTTGTACACAGTTAGACTTTTATTATTTGTTTACTGGGTCTTGCAAAACAAGTTTCTTGTTCAACATTTTATGAATTTGAATAAAGAAATATGATATGAAGCTATGGGAGAAGACTAAATTACTGACTAGCTGCTGGTAGATGATGCTTAGATTATTACACACGTAAATCTGCATTAACCTGGTTTTGTTTCAGTAACCAGCTTCATTGGTTATGTTCACACAGGTTGAGTAACATTTTTGTTGTGTTAAGGGTGCAGAGTCATTGGATAGTGAGCTGTCTGCCAGCACTGACAGCCTGTCGGAGAAAAAGGTGAGTCTTCATCTTGGAACGGACAGATCCTCCCCACGCACCCACTGAAACTGCATGAGTCACGGTGTAGTCACCACCAACATGAGAACAAGTGTGAGATAAAATATCTGCGTTAGGTGGAAGAAAAATACTGAAACTAAACAAAATAACCTGTTGTCTGCTTCCCTGTAGGAGAAAGGTGGTTTGTTCAGTGGACTCCTCAGAAAGACTCCCAGAACACCTGGAGAGGTACAGCTTCTCAAACACAAGTGCAGTTTTCCATATAGATGATGCTTTATTGTGCACCCAAAACATGACGCTCATAGTGTTGATTTGTTGGGTGGGTGTGGTTTTCACTGCATTTTCATTCTGCAGACAAATCAGCACATAACATGAGATCCAGCTTTAATATTGGTTTAATGTAGGTTGGTTTTTTTTTGTTTTTTTTTACAAATATTTATCCGCAGATATTGCATTCTGGACATCTATACATGTAGATTCAGCCACTGTGTTGTGTTTGTTCTGTTCCACATGGACAGGGGAAGCCTGAAAGGGCACGAATGCAGTCAACCTTAACTTATTAAGGTATCACAGATGCTCAGGTGCACGCAAGGTCACAAAACAATTATCAGACATACCCATAAAACAAATGTTTGTTTAACAAGAAATAACTGCATACAGAAGTGTCAAAACTATAATACAAGTACATCAAATTGCATTTATTTATTTATTAATTGCAATTGCCTTTACATTTTGCAAAGTTCCCATATGCAGCGGTCTTATTTATTGGCAATTGCAGCTAGTTGCCAGCAGGAATGTTTAACGAGTAAGTAAAGTTGGCAAGCGCTAGCTGCTGCTCATCTATAAATGCCGGGGAAGTGCATGTTTAATAATGTGTGGCTGTATCTGTGTATATTTGTTTTAAACTGCTTAAATAACGTCATGGAAACTGGGGCAAATATTATGGAAAAGTTTTGAAAATGCAAAAGTAACAATGTGTGGGAAACTGGAATATATAAACCAAAAAAACTGCACATGCCACGTATGCCGACCTGAATCGATACATAACAAAATACCATGTGTACCAACACTATCATAAACAATACAGACAAAGAAAATATTTCTGTAGTGTCTTTGTCAACACTTACCAGCTGTAATCACAGCAGCCCTACCATCTGCTGTTTAATTATCAGTTGACAGAGATTCAGTGTCATTCCTACCGCCTCGTCTGCTGTCTGCACTCCATTTAACCAGTTTCACCTGCCCTTGCTACTTTGTAAAGAAAACAGCATGTGAGCATGACCAAAGGGAGCGCAGCCAGTATGATGCATGCTCCCTGTATGTCTGCCAATGTGCTGAAATGCTGTAATGCAGGAGCAGCAGAAGTTAATATATGACAGACATGGAAATATTCAAGCACTTTTAATTTTCTTGTAACCCTTTTGTACCATTTTCTACAGAGCTGCTCACAGTTTTTAATTCTTGTTTCAGGAGAATCTCTCGGCACAGAAAGATCTTTCTGCCAGCAATGACAGTCTGTCTGAGGCTGCCAACACAAAGGTCAGTTTGGTTGTTAGATTTAAAGATGCCAGCTTGAGCTCCAGGCAGTTGTGACAGCCATTTCCCACTATTTTTGATATTATAGAGAAAAAGATTAATCGATAAATGGAGAAAATAATCAGCTGATCATTACAAAAAAAATATAAACTTCAGTTGCAGCCCTACATATGGCTCAGATCTAATGTGGTAATGAAATGTGCTACCTGTATGTAATTGTGATACAGGTAACACCATTCAAGGTAGCATTAAAAAACGTTAAGACAATATAAACAGGCTAAAACATCCTGTTAAGATTCATTGACAGGTATTAGTTTCCAAAACTCCATCAAAATTAAGTACATGGAAAAATAAAATTTAGAAACAAATGTAATTTCACTTCGATGCATTTCTGAACTTTTACTGTTTCTTTAAATCTCATTTAATGTTGTTCTAATGCTTTTTTTTAGGTTTATGTAAAGAATCATTATTACTAATAAAAAATACCTTGATGTACCTGGATACCTGGATGTTAAAAAAAAATGTTATTTGTGTTTCAGGAGAAAGGAAGTGCTTTCAGTGGAAAATTCAAGAAGTCGTCCAGACTTCTTGACGGTCTTCTCAAAGAGGAAGTAAGAAGTCTTTTTCTGGCCCCTTTCAGTCATCTCGTAAATGTGGTGATGTTTCCCTGTAAACTGAGGCATTAGCTGTAAAAGAAAAATGTCTGTAATGTGTAACAGGTTCTGATTGTTTATCTTTTCTCAGGAAACACAGTCACAAGATGATGAACTTTCAGGCAGCAGGGAAGCTCTTTCTGAGAACAAGGTGAGGATTTTT